TATTTATTATTTAAAGAGTTTAATTTCTATTGTTTGCCCACTCAAGGTTTATAGGGATCTTAAGAAGTATTTAGTTAAATTACATATTTAGTAATTAAGTTAACTTTCTGACACAGTAATTAGATAAGTATTTTAAATACAGTATTGACTAAGTAATTAGTAATTCATTACTTTTTTAAAGTAACTTACCCAACACTGCAGAGGACTAGAGAGGCAAGGCTTCACTTGTGACACGTGAAAGGTGTTATGGATTTTCATATTCCGGGGCAGTTTAAGACGGACAGAGACAGGGTTAATCACAGAGTCGACTTCAAAGGGACCGATGAGAGTGGGAGACAGTTTCTTGGATTCAGACCTGAGTGGGATAAACCTGGTAGACAGCCAAACCTTTTGTCCAGGTGTGTAGGTGGGAGCAGGGGTCCGGTAGCGATACGCTGGGTGCTTGTTGCGTTCCACTGTGCGGAGAAGGGCGGCCCAAGTCGCTCTCCAGGCACGCCGACACCTCCGAAGATGCTGTTGGACAGAGGGAACAAAGTGCTCACCTTTGACGGCTGGGAAGAGTGGCGGTTGATAGCCCAGGGATGCCTCGAAAGGGGACACACCGGTGGCGGAGGGGGTAAGGCTGTTATGAGCATACTCAATCCATGGCAGTTGCTCGCTCCAAGTTGACTGGTTAGTGGACACCAGGCACCGGAGAGCTGCTTCGGGCTCCTGGTTGGCACGCTCAGTTTGACCATTGGTCTGTGGGTGGAAACCAGTGGAGAGACTGACCTGAGCTCCGAGGGCACTGCAGAACTCCTTCCAGACACGTAAACTGCGGTCCTCTGTCAGACACAATGTCCAAGGGGATTCCATGGAGGCAAAAAATGTGGTTAGTTAGTAGCCGGGCGGTCTCTAGAGCAGTGGGAAGCTTAGGGAGGGTGACAAAATGAGCAGCTTTGGAGAAACAGTCCACAATGGTGAGAATGACAGAGTTACCTGACGAGACATGCAGACCAGTGATGAAGTCAATAGCGATGTGTGACCAAGGGCGGCTCGGAGTCGGCAGAGGTTTGAGGAGGCCAGAGGGTGGTTGATGGACCCTCTTCTTTTGAGCGCAGGTCGAGCATTCGGAAATATACTCGCGGACATCTTTAGCGAGGGAAGGCCACCAGGTGAAAAATTGAAGGAAGGTAATAGTGCGGTGGACCCCCGGGTGGCAGGTGAATCTGACAGTATGAGCCCAATGTAACACTTGTGACCTTACTGAGGAGGGTATGAAGAGCAACCCTGGAGGTCCCGTTCCGGGGTCTGGTTCTGTCTGTTGAGCCTCTCTAATAGCCGACTCGATCTCCCAGGTCAGAGCCCCAATTACACAGGTGGGCGGTAGAATGGGAGAGTCCCGAGCTGCATCTTCGGAGTCGGCGAATTGGCGTGAGAGGGCGTCTGGCTTGACATTACGGGAACCGGGTCTGTAAGTGATTGTGAACTGG